CCTTGCAATGAAGCTTTTCAAGATGCTAAAATTTCATGCTTTTTGGGAGGACACGAAGCTGAACTGATTGCGCAGATGCCACCAGACTGATTGAACGTCTCTCCAAGGCACGCCACAGAAGGGCACTCTTTTCTGACGATAAAATTTCTACCGCAAAACAGGTTTTATTCCTAAAACACCAGAATCATATCCTTATCGCTCTGAAAAGCCATCAGCAGGGGTTGACTCGTCAAAGGAGAGCCTCATCCGGCTTTTCTGATGGCTTGAGTGGCGATCACTTCCGGCGGCAATATGCCACTGATCTTAGCGCCTCAGGGCACCAAGGTGGACGCTGCTACGTAGTTGGATAGCATTCTGAAGAAGCAACTGATGCCCTAGACCAATATCGATTTTGCAGGGAAAGATTGGTGCTTCCAGCAGGTACCGCACCTGCGCACGCAGCGAAGGTTGTTCAAATTTCGCTCCAAAGCAAGTTTAAGGTCTTCACTAGTCTTGCAGAATGGCTCCGCTTTCGCCCAATCTGAATCCCCTCGACTATAGCTTCTGGTCAGTTCTTTAGACCAAAGCCTGCGCTCACCCACGCAAGACAGTGGAGTCTCTGCAACTTGCTCTTCAGAAGGCGTTGGAAGAAATCGACGTGAAGCACCTCCGTGCCACAATGGACAGCGTTCCCAAGCGTTTCCGAGCTTGTGCTCGCATCAGAGGAAGAATCTTTGCATCGTAAAGCCAGTTTGTGTAGCAGACAATTAATTAAACATTACCTATCGATTTCATGGAATCACCTTGCCTAGCTTCATCATTGCGTTAAAAATACCGTGTTCAAAGACTTTCTCCCAATCCTGTATCATATGTAAGCAGAAAAACCATTCGAGTAGAGACAGAAACCAAGAACTGGAAGATTTGTCGAATGCCCTATAGAAAATTTCGTAGAAATTGTAAACTTAAAGTGATTTTGTCCCTATAAGCACGTTTTTGTTAGAGGAAGTGCTCCATTTACCTTCCTTCTGATAGTCCTAACCGCATTAACGCTATCGAATGCCATTTAGTTTAAAATAAGCGTTTCCGTATGGCGGTTTTTGTTCAGTTTGTACCGCATCTCCGGAAGCTCTCATAGGATAAGTTTATAAATCTGTCAATCCATCGCAGTCACGAATTCACTTTATGAAGTTGTTTTCCAGCCAAAATGAAGAGTTGTGGATAAAAGTTGAAAGGAAATGAATCAGCTGCAGAAGATGAAGTTAACAGCGAGATAGTACAGCGAAAACAACATGGCGAAGTTGATGCAATGTGGGTAGTGCATTTTGTGACTGTGTGGGGAAGGAAGTGGGTCGGCAAAGTCGGGACTCCTGTTCACAAATGCAATTGCGTAAAGGTCGCTTAAACTGAGATTAGAGGCTACGTCCACCTTTCCCCGACAGCCGCTAACCTCTCAATCAAGCATGGAAAGCTAACTAGGAAATGGTCAGAACTCAACCCGGCTATTCCAAACAAGCTCTGTATCATCTGACTCGTCTAAAAACGCTGATTTCAAAATATGTTCTTTATCTGCCAAGAGACTATCTGGGAGGAGTTATGAACGTTGAATATGAGAATTCGAGTTCCGACAAATATATTTCCTTGAAAAGCAGCCTGATGGCGCAGATTTACGATGGCTATGTCTTTCTAATTACAAGGAAGAAGCACATTCACCAAAAGCCTGAATAAGGGTTTTTGAAAGGTACTTCGTGGAGTATGCGCCATAGAACACTTGACAAATCGCACATTTAAACGCTCATAACTCCTTTCGGATAGTCGCTTGGCAGATAATAAACATATATTTGAAATCAGCGTTTTAAGACGAGTCCGACGATGTACAGCATGTTTGGTATAGCTGGGTTAGCTTCTGACCATTCCCTGCTATGCTTTTTTCCTCTTTTAGCATGCTCTCCAATCCCGCCTTCCTGCGAACTCCTCTTGCAGCATTTAGCATTGGTCGTACCTTCGTGACGCCGCCTTAGCGAATCTCATCGCTCGAGCATCAGATGAAGAAAGATGAATGCAAGGAAATTGCTTAGCTAGCTTATTAGGCATACTCCCCGCAATTCCGTGCACGCTCATACATCAATACCAATTCTTACATTAAAAACGACCTCAGGGCACCATGGAAAATATGATTTCAATCAATACTATGAGTTGGTTTTGAGTTGCCGAGCTTGCAGGAACAATTTCAAGGTGTATTTACAACATAAGAGTACCATGAAAAGAGAAAATTGGAATTTACAGAGATTCTGTTAATCTATATATAAATAAAACTTAATCTCTGTAAATTTGTTCGTATGTAAGTATGTGGCTTATAGACTTCTTTGTTTGTGAACCGATGAGGCTGAAATTTGCTCCCCTATAAATGAAGCCAGGCGCAGAAGATAGGCTACTTTTTGCGACAGTTCACTGGGTCCTACTATCGATTTATTGATTTGTTTACTAACATCTAGGAAATGAAAGCTATATCATTCATTTTTTCCAAGTTAAGTATTAAGGGGCGGTAGAGATCATTTACATTTTGCGGTGAGGAGTATGCGGTGTCACTAAGCGAGCCTGTCAAGAAGGACAAATTCACCCCGGATACTACACGTGTGCTGGGATTGACTTGGAGGTAAAGCAGGAGAGGAAGAGAAAATATGATCTGAAAGAAGTGGAGGAATGGTAAGCAAACATCTTAAAGCAGACGGGCCATTTTGGACCCTTGGCCCGGGCCGAACCGGGGATCGCAGCTAGTATCTAATAACAACGAACAGTAGCTATGAAGGATGTCGATTGAAGAGTGCAAGACAGAAGATTACTGAATGTCAAGCAGTGAATCAGAACAAGGGGTTGTACAGAATAAAGCGGATTTAAAAAAATAGAAACCATTAGTACACAGCTCTCTCCCTACTACATTTTTGCTTCTGCTCTCTCTTTGTTCTCCGGCGGGAGGAAGCAAAAGCGTATAAAGGGCTTTGCGTGATCGCGAGAGTAGGTGAATTTGGTCATCATTGCTCGCGCATTGAGCTTTCTCACTTCTATTATTGTAACATAAGTCTTATTACATTTCAACTTCTTACGGCGATAACTCGTTACTTCATACTTTCAATAGGGTTCGAGTACCATTCGATAGAGCAAAGCAAGCTCCACAAGACGGTGTGCAAAAGTTCGCCGAGCCGACCCACCGTAAGTTTGCATCCAGACTCTGAGTCGTACAAGGCTCAAAAAAGTGGGAAAAATTCATATCGTCGTTTAAAAAATCCTACGATCTCCAGCTTGCTCACACAAATTGCACGCCGCATTAGACGCTCATATGTACCGTTGCTGTAATTTTTATTCAGCAAAAAACCGGAGAAACTTTCTTACACTCATACAAAAACGAAGCTATGCTGTTTTCACACAGGTAATTGTTTATTACAAGCTTATGGAAGTATAACAGTAAATTTTTAGCTTCACGTTTTTAGCTTGTTTATTACAATTAACAAATTTAGCTCTCCTCACTCGGGCGTTCCATGCTAAAATCGATATTTATCGAAAACCAGGGCTGGAAAGCTAAAAATTTACAGTTACATTTCTAGGGGTTTGTAGTGTACGATTATATGGGTGGAAACAGCACAACTTCGTTTTTGTATGAGCTTTTTTTTTGTTTTCTCTAAATCTAAGTAATCTAGTTGAGAAAAATATACAGCAACGGTACATATGAGTGTCTAGCAATTTGTAGTTGGAGATCCGTAGGATCTCTTTGAACGAAAATATCTCATGGCAGGTCGAAGTTGGTGCGAACTTTTGCACACCTGCTTGTAGAGCTTATTTTGCTCTATCGTATGCTGCCCAGGAGCCCTATTAAAAATGTGAAGTGTACGACTTATCCCCGTAAGAAGTCAAAGTGTAACAAGACTTACAGTACATCTTAATTCTTCTTCCTTCAAACCCTTTTTTTCTACCAGATATTAGCTCTTAATGACCTGAAGCACTGTTTAAGAGTACGAGATTGTTTAATTGACTTGAAAACTTATGGCATCCTTCATGGGCAATGGCCGCAAACTCACGACTCTCGCGATCACGCAGAGCCTTAAAATATTGCGCGTCTGCAAAAATAGAATTATAAAAGGGTTGCGAATCTTTCTGTTATCATAAAAGAGTTTCACTCCTCCATGAAAAAGCACTGCAAAAAAACTCGCCTTTGGCTTTATCATAATTGCATTTCGCGAAGCTCTCTGCGTTAAACAGCTTTCCTAAAAAAGATTGTTGGAGAGTTTTGTGCCTAAATCTGAAAACACTAATATCAGATCCAACTGTGCATAATTCTCATTCGATCACCAAGTTGCTCTCAGAATTACTCGAGATGCCTGCTCTACTTACGCTTACCTCCGCAAATTTATCACGATAAAATAACCAATCAATAGAAAGGTAAGGACATGAAGGGTTTTGAAATTTGTTACAGCACTTTGCTGTTACTCACTACAAAGGGCTAATTTTTATTCTGCGTCGAGTATTTCTAAACAGACGGTGTGAAGATATTCCTCTCCATTTTTCATCATACGTCGTCTCTTGTTTCGCTCGTTAGCGGTGTTGCGGCAATTCCCGAAATTATTTTTGCAAGTATTACTTTAGTGCTTGCCGAGAAACTCGTCCCCACTTGCATCTGTCTTTCCTATAGGGATTTTGACGGGATGTTATGAAGGCGCTGAGCTCTACCATAAACAAGGTTTTTTTACTATTGTGATAGGAAACTATCGCTGTTGACTTTGAATGCTTCCGAGTTTAAGAAAAATTTACGTGCTAAATTATATAGCATGCCAACCAAAAAGAACTGCTCGCTATCACTGCGAAAGAAATTTTCACAATTTTGCATAGAATAACTCAAGTTTCTGGGGGGAGGGGTTTGGAAGACGACGCACTAAACATGTAGAAGCCCTTTTGAGGAGTCTACACCATTTCACTTCATTTGATTTAAAAAAGGAAAACAATGTAAATATGCTGACAGCCATTTCTTCAAGACGATACTGTGCACCGGATTTGTACGCGGCGTTGCTGTGAATGGAATAGTACGAGGAGAAATCCTCCTAGCAAGTGGCCAGATGATAGATCGTCCAGGACTACCAGAAGTGAGTAACAAAGCGGTTTTACCTGTATGTATACACTATGCTTTGTAGGTGCCTCTCAGTTCCCAACAATTTCTATTTCGGACCACTCCTGATCTACGAATAGTATTCTGTGATTCACGGTAATTGCTGAATACCAAAAACCTTCGCTTGCCTTATTGAAGATTTTTTCCTGAAATTTCGCATCTACGAAACCCTAGCGGAGAATAACACGTCTCCCCCCCCCCCCCCTTGCACAATGGTGACCACTGATCTCTTAAAAGGCTAACTTTCTTCTACTTTCAACTTCCTTTCCTTGCATCCACAATGAGTACTCTGCCTAACCGCGCTCAAAAGCACCGTCCACCCAAAGTGAGGGGGATGAGATTTTGATGTCATACAGGGTGTCCCAAAAGTAAGTACACATTTTTCAATTGTTAATAACTCCCCTCCCACGAAGTCTTTTGCCTAGCGTTAAGTACCCGTTAGGTAGAGCAGGCTTCAACTTAGATTTATGGTATAGAGCGAATCATCCATCGCTCTTCATTACTGTAGCATTACGGTAGGGAATTCCAGCATATAGCGCCATTGTGAAATAGGCTGTTCAGAAAAAAAGTTCGAAAAAGATCTGGAAAGTCGTGTATCAGTGTTTTCGGACATGCTGATTTCATTATACAACTTTTTACGAGTTTATGATGTTTAAAATGATTTAATCACATTTTTGTGGTAGAACACTGAAAACACGTTATTGCATTTCCCTAGCATATCTTATGAGAAAAGTCTTACGATGAGCTGCGAACTTCATATTCGTAGTAACGACTCAATTCAGCCTAATGGTAAAGTTTTCAGCTGTTTGTTGATTATCCATTCTAAGGCAAAATGTAGCCATTTGGCTAGAAATTCTTTTCGAAATTCCTACCGTAATCCTACAGTAATGAGACGTGATGGATGAATTGCTCCATACTGTGTATCTAGCAAGGGAAGCGTGCTTACTCGAAGTGGCCTTTCCAGATGAGACCTATACTGCTTTGAAGAGCATTAAGCGTTGATTCCAAACCTGCCTTCCAAATCTGCCAAGCGCCTCTGGATGCCGATATATGGGCGTTTTTCAGGTCAAAAAATTGAATGTAAAGCTGGACCAAATCGCCCAAATTTGCTCAAATGGTCCAGTGTCAAGTATCAGAACCGTTTCTGCAATGGATACATTTTGTCTAATATGTTAATCAATACTCAACATATATCTGAGCGCTGGGAAGATTGTAACAATCGTTCTTACCTAAATTCTACATTTGATTTTCGTCCCAAAAAACGGTCATACGGCGTCCAGAGGCGCTTGACACATTTGAAAAGCAGATTTAGAATCACCGTGCAATACTCTTCAAAGCATTATGGGTCTCATATGAAAAGACTACTTTGACTACGCTTCCCTGTAAGTTGAAACCTGCTCTACTGAATGGTGCTTCATTCTAAGCAAAAGACTTTGTGGGAAGAGAGTTACTAACGGTTGGAATATGTGTACTTACTTTTAGGACATCCTATAATAGCCGGACCCCTAACTATGCAGTCGCCCGATCTTGCTGAAAAAGATGTATGCTAAATCCGAAAACCGCTCCAGGAAGTAGAAGGGGCCACGCTGGCTGCGCCCATCAACAAAGATGTTCTGAAGATACAAGTCCAAAATTAAGCTTCTGAATTGGTTGCAAGGTCGCAAATTTGTTGGATCATAACGAAGGGCGGATTTATGACAATTCTGGATGCATTAATGTCAAATTTTGACCTGTTATTTTCAGACCATCCACTTTGATGGGAGCAAGCGTACCGCTTCTACTTTCTGGGGCGGTTTTCTTGGTTTGAAACATTCCAACGAGACTTAAGCGACTGTTTGGTTAGGGGCCTAAGGTGCCTTGCTAGTATATCAGAATCTCATCACCCACAACACGGAGACGACGCCCTTAAGCCTACAACTGGGAAACTTTTTACGCTCTGTTTGTACTCAGTGCTACTGCAAAATTGTTTACTAATTAAAACGATTTAAGCTTTAATATGTTTGAATAACTAACTGAGATATTTTCAGAGTCGGAGAAATTCTGCGATTTAATCCAGCCGACTTGCTCGATAGAACGCTCTACAATCTGATCACAGTTGACGACTGCGAATCTTTACTCAGAGCCCATATGATGAGTAAGCTTTTGCAGTTTTGCAATCTACCAACCATCGACCAACCAATCTACATGGCAAATGTAACCAAAAATCGAGTTTGCTGACCACAGCTTACTTCAGTTCTTCGACCAGAGGAATGTCAATCTGTCACACAATATGTGGATATGTTTTGTCAAGGAGGAGGTCTAGCCACAGTCGGGCTACACCTCATCAAACTTCCCAGCAACCATGTGGCAGCATCTTTTTCGATTTCTGTTATTTGTACATTAGTTGGGTGAGTGCAATTATGATTTGGTAAGGGGAAAATATATCAAGGACATTTTGGCTTGAATAATCTATTGCTCAAATTCCTCTAATCTATTTCTTCTTGACTCAAAATTATCCCCAGAACATATCCTACTGCAAGCAATATCTTCAATTTCTCACATTTCTGGACCATGAAACATTTTAAAAAGCAGGCCATGGACTACAATGAAATTTCTGGTTGGAAAAAGTCACAAGAGATAAATTAGTTGGAAAGGAAAACGCCGACAAGTTTGCAGAGAAAAACGGTCCTCTAACAAGCTTCTCTTAAAACAAGTTCCTCATTAATACAAATATTCTTATTTTCTTTGATTTTATTCCCTTATCGGCTGAGCGAAAAAAAATGGTAATTCCTGGGATCTTAAATAATTGAAGAAACAGTTCAACCAAACTTATATGAAAAGAGGATACAAGCACTTTGTCAGATCCTTACAGTTGGCCGTGCACTTATTTTGTTTCCCAGGAACGAGTTCCAAGTGTCATTGATAGTTCACATGTTAGCTTATTTTACGATGTTTTGTTAGCCAACTGATACGCGGAGTTTCCCTGAGTAGGAACATTGTTTGTCAGCTGATAATTCCGTGGTAACTTTATTATCTCAGCGTTCCTCACTCATGTGATCCCCTGATAGCACAAAAATGTCGTTACTGTACGGTGTCACCATAAGCAATTTATGAGCGTTTTTTGCTTTTGAAAGTGGCTTCGTATTTGAACTAGTGTTGGGACAGTTGGAAACTTATCTATTTTGAAATTTCTATGCAGACTAACAGATGAAACGATAGCTTTGCCTACAGTTTTCCTCAGCGCCTTGAAATTTTGGTTGAATTCGAATAGCTTTTCTTAGCGATAATAAGCTTGCTTGAAAATTCCCACAATTTCCACAAATTCTAGAATTCGAGATCGAGTAGTGGCATAGTGCATTTTCAGAACATTATAATTTCGAGAATAGCAAGCATATGGTGGAAATATTTAACGTACTCAATCAAATATGGGTACATATAAAATCTTGCTTTGAGTTGAGATGTACCGAAAAAATTGATTTCGGGTCATCCTTTGTTGTCTGAACTGCTAAAGCAGCAATATTAGTAACCTTCAGAATCTTTGTAAAAACACAACACCTACTAAATAGCAGTGGCGGCCCCACGATTTCCATCCGGGGGAGGGCAAAAAAAATTTTCCAATGAAGGTGCATGGCTTAAGCCACGCCTCCGAAAAAATTTTTAGGGTACTTCTCAAATTTTTTGCGGGTTCCCAACCCCTGAATTCTAGACAAAGGGGGCATGGTTGACGCCACGCCCCGAAAAAAAATTTTTTACAAGGCTAAATTGAATTTTTAAAAATTTTTTAAAAAATATTTTAAGTGTTTACAAGAATAAACAAGTAATCCCCCCCCCCTCGGCCCGCCACTGCTAAATAGACATTGTGTAACTACAATAATAGTTGATTATAGCACTGATGGCTGCCAATTCGAAAAGCATATATTTATCTCAGTTAGCCAATGCTTGAGAGTTATGATCAAGCTCTATACATACTAATGCGCCAGAACAGCAGGTCAACTAAAAAAAATCATAGACCAGACTAGTTTAGTAGTCGAGTGTTGCTATTGCTGGTCGTTGTGCTCTAAAGATACGCCGCGGGGATGAACACATGATGGTGTCCAATTTCAAGTTTTGCATTCGCAGACCAAAGATTCGCCCGCTACATTCATCGCCTATCAACTCAGCGAATAAAATTGGAATGGATAGTTTAGAGAGGAATTATGTGCATTAAACTGAAGTTATCAAATCATTTGGATCACTAATGCCTCTACCATCCCTGAACATCTGAAAAAAATTCAGATAGACGCTGATTGCTTTCTAAACCAAACTTTGAAAATATGTTATTTTTTATTTTTTGATCACCAACAGTTCAAGAAAAAAGTTTGCAACTTATTGAAACAATTGTGACTGTCTATCAGATTCAGGTTCTCTGCCGTTCCCGATTTTGTGGACATTTTACAAGTTCTTCCACCTTACGATGAACAACAAAATATTGGATTGGGTAAGCTAACAGCCTTATCTGCGAGATAACTACTTCCACAAAATGGTAACTGAGAATTTTAGGAGCGCACTCGAGTGTTTTCTATTCGGAAGCTATAGGTAAAGACAATGGCACTCGAGTTTTCACGTTAAGGAGGAATAAGAAATGCTCTAGAAAACGAGGTGAACAGAACAAAAATAATCAGATGACGTCTACGAAGATATTTTCAACAATGTAAAGATTTTCATAATTTTAGTAAAATTACTTGTTTTTGAACTGGTAAAAGCAATACCCAAGAATTTGAAGATTATCAACTTCCCCCACCTACTCTTCCAAAATATTATGTGTGACTTCCGCTGATTAGTTGACCACTAAAAATACGATTCTAAGGCCAATCCCAAGTGTATTTGATTGCTGAATCTCCAGGATCGAATAGCAAATTTATACAGCATTGATACACTGAAAGACATGCGAGAGGTGGACTAAATTCCAACGGAAAAAGATTAGAAATGCACATCACGTTCAAAAAATACTAGCATCGTCTGACTCAACCATGATAAATCCCTGCAGAGCTAGAATACGACTTAGAAATGGGATGAATAGTATGGGTATTTGGTACACTTTCGGGAAGACTACAAGCTATATACGCATATACCGCAATGTTTATGCCATCTCAAATTGATCCGATGACACACTGGCTCTTTCATCGACATCGTCCACAATTTCAAAATCACCCGGAGCTGAGTCGTTCTCCTCATTGCACGGACCATATTCTTTCAGTACGTCCTGGAACAGAATTCATGGGAAAAATTGTGAATCAAAGCAGATTTTACTTACGAAATCACTTTCGTCTTCAATAGCCGTGTGGACACTGTCGGTGAGACTTTCCTGAGATGCAACATTGCAAGAAGGGCGCGCAAATGAGTGATCAAAAATACCCACCTCAACTTTTGGCTTCACAACAGACTCAATATCGTGCAAGTCATGAACCTGTGCTGCTTGTAGCTGTGTGATATACACCTAAATATGAAAAAATTCAATCAATAGACTGAATTTTTGAATGCCTAATTTTAGAAAAAATTGTTACCCAAATAGGTATAAAACTATATATAGCATGGATGAACCCACTTTTTCATGCACATTGGCATCCGTCAGCATAACACTGCAAAGACATTCCACTTCGTCTTTTAGCATGTCCACCACTGTGCTGACAGTTTCTTCTGTGGTTTTCTCCTAAATCATAGTACCTCTCAAAAACAATAGCAATGAAAAAAACTGTCTAACTAGTGATAATCAAGCGTGAGAAATACCCAAAATAATTTTACGTGAGCAAAAAAAACTAAAGCTAACCGTCTCTGTAACTTTCGGCTCCTCGACGATTCGCGGTTCATTCAAAGGTTTGCGTAGTTTTGTGAGCAGGGTAACATCGCTTGCATCGTATAGATCCGATAAAAGCGGTCCTAGCAAAAGAAGAGATTCATGGAAAAATGATAGTGACCTTAGAGCGAGACATACCTTCAAAGTGCTTTTTCAAAGGAGTGTAGTTGAAGCTCAGTGTATGGGAGAGTGGGACATTGCGATGAAGCATACGTAGCTGCACACATCCCGATGTCTCATTGCAGCGACGAGTGCTGAGAGTTACCCTCAAATAAGATATTATTCAGAATGTGAAAAAAAAAACAACGAATTCGTAAACTTACGGAATTTCCGATGTTTGTCCAGCTGAGATAGCTGTTACAGCTCCAGGATTCAACAATTCAGTCTCAGCCGGCCAGTTGACTGCAGATATCTAAAACGGGTGGTGGTACTTGTTAAGGCAACAAAACTGTGCAAAGAAAACTCACAGAGATCTGCAGCTCTTTCCTAGACAGATTAACAACTTTGAAGGTCTTTCCAAAGACAGCATTATCAACGGACAAACGGCCAATATATTTTGTAGATGACTCCTTGAAATTATAGATTGATGAATGAACATCAAATAACGAGAAAACATACCCCAGCCACCGCCAAAGTAGGAGCTTTTGTGAGCTTCATATACTTCCCAGCCAACCGTTGCTTGGATGAAGACTGAAAAGATGTTTTCAATCAAGAAATATACAAGACCAAGAATACTTTACCTTAGACTTGGATGTTTTCGGTTTTTCTCTTTCAGGCGATGTAGCAGCAACAGCAACCTCAGCTTTTTCTCCTGCGTCTTTTTTCACTTTCTTTCCTATACAATAACCGCGAATGTCAGTCTGAGCACTAGCAGTCTTGCTCAACGAATTCGAGATCTGCAAGTAGGTTGTTTTTTAGCGTAATCCAGAGAAGCAAAAAATATTGGTTATGCTGTCGGACAAAAGAGGAATGTCTCTTGAAAATTGGTAGAGAATCCCAGTGGTCTATGTGAGTCAAAAAACCATTTGAACTGGTTTTTTGTTCTCAGATGACCAAAATAAGTCCATTAGCGCTCACTGCTTTTCATGCCAACCTCCAATAAAGACCTAAGAAACGTACTGTTGCGTATCCCGCTCATTTTTCTCAAAAAAATTTTTTGGACCTCTTTTGGTCGCTATAAGAAGACTCATTACCTTCTTGCCGATCATATAAGCTCGAATGTCGTGCTGATTGATATCTTTCTTTTGTTTCTTAAGCTTCGTTTCTGCAGAGGGCACGTTATTCTCGCTTTTCTGCAAAGAAGATTGAACATCACAGATTGAACTTTTGAGTTTAAGAGCATAGAACGTACCTTAGCTCGCTCATGCTCCTTCAATTTCAACTTCATATACTCGTAAACATTTGCGATGGTGTTAGCACTGTCCGATTCCTTTGACTGAGCTTCAACGGCGGGCTCACTGGATGACTCAGGTTGCGCAGTTTTAGGCACACGGCAATTCTCGCAACAGCGCTTCTTCGATGCTTTTGTGGACTTATGTTCCTTAGAATAATTCAACAGTCCTTTGAGCAGCTTTCTACTTCTCGCTGGCTTTTGTTCCAACATTTTCAGCAAGGTGGAAACCCACTGAAAACAAAGAACAATGGGGAACTCGTTCTGCTTTTGCAGAGAGAAAAACGTACTTCCTCGCCGTCCTTCTTTTTATCTGACTTCTCTGAGTCAGACGTAGCTTGCACTTCCTCATCTACGCCACCTACACCTGTACTGAGAGCAGCTGTCATCGACAAACTGATGTTACCACGCGTTCGATTCCATTTCTGTAACAGAGTTTCGAGATATGCAAAAATAGTATGATCAAAACAATGAACCTTTTCGACTCGCTGAGCAATTGCGGCTGTTTCTTGTAGGGCCAAAAGATCCTCAAAACATGATGGAACTTGCTGGCATGGCAAGCTTTTGCGATGAGCTTTGTCTGTAGACCAGGGTGTAGCAACCTACAAACGAATTTTCAACCGAAGATGCAAAAAAATCTCTAGAAAAAAAGAGATGCATTAACAAGCAGGTTCATAGAGTCTTCGAAAAGGGGTTGAAAAAGCCAACATTACAGATGGATGATATTACAAATGGATGATGTCACGGTTTTCAATAAACTTTTAGCTTCTACAACTGATGAGATTTGCCTAACGGCGCCGCTTCCTCTTTTTGATACCTAATTTCGACAGCTTATTAATAAATGACACATCAAATTTGAAGATGTACACCGACAGACACAAACACACTATTTTTAAGTTACGGTAGGAGTATGACTACGGATCAAGGTCATTTTAATCATCCGAATCTTGTTCGACTGAGAATGTGATCGAATCTCTCATGACAATGACTGTTCATGACTATGACTACCGTAATCCACAAACACTCTAAATTTCAAGAGACAGAGGCCCATAGCTCCTGAGAACAAGTCGAGAAGGTTTTTGAAAAAAGCTACACGGGTTATGAGATACGCTATCTTGTAGTTGTGTTCGAGAAGTTCCCAATTTTTTGAAGATTCAAAGAACCTTCGTAAAACACGCCCTTTTCAAAAAATTTCAGGATTATAACCATGCGAAAAATTTGGGAAGCATCCCAAGAAATTTTCTGGGAGTGTTCGGAAAACATTTTTGTCCCCCTCCCCAAAAAAAAATTTCTCGGACTGCCAGTGCAGAATAAATTTCCATATTGTGTGAAATAATGTCAAGCAATTTAAGGAGAAAGCTGAAGAAGAAAAATGGACTTTGAACTTTTCTACCATGAAGTTTATTCTAGATACCGAATTCCTACCATGTTCAGAGAACGTTCCCAGTTGCCGATAAAATCTTCATAGCGCCAGCTGAGGTCTCGTGTAGTTAAAACTGGGGATGCTGTTACACTAAAACAAAACCGTTCTTTTCACCTTGATAAAGGGGTCTTATAAAAACCAACCATTTCATAATTCCACCGCTTTTGGTGCAATTGGTTTTAGTGTCGAGATCGAAGACATCAACGAGTTGTTCGACACCGGCGATTTTCACAGGCGCATCATGGTACTCGGAGAGGTCAGGCGGAGGAAGCTAAAGAGTTGGAAAGGAGTTGTCAATAAAGAGGTGGGGAAGTAGTCACAAATTCACTCTGAGAACTTTCACATTCCATTTTTTGTTAGTTGAACACCTCTTCTCTATAGCTATACTCAGAGCTAGAGTACCAAAAGATAGGAATGAATGTAATCAGAGAAGGTAAATGATGCAAGATATCACTCAAACGTAACTATAACATGACTCTATAAACTTACTTCTGGTAATAAATGTTGAGGAAGAAGCATTTTCAAAGAAGCCTGTTAACAAAAATCACAATTTTATGGAAATTACTCTAGTCAATTTACGTTAACTTTTTTGTTTGAAAAATTGACGAGTTCTTTTTGAAAAACATATGTGTGCTGCTGTGACCATACAATAGAAAATAGCTAAAAGCTGATTTGAAGCCAGCGTTCAATAGTGACACACCTCTGGCACGAAAACCTCGGCTGGCAGACACATCGGAGCCGTCTGTACTGATTTCTCGGTACGGTTATAATCAGCTGTCATAGTAGCGCGTGGTGGAGTAAGAAGACGGAGAGCAGATTCCTCAAAATCTCTTATTAGCCTGGACATTCCCAATTTTTCAAATGCAATGCTACCACACAAAATAACTGTGACCATTATCTACCTTTATCTGCTCTTGACGCTGCTCTAGTTTGTTGAGAAAATCGATAAAGCCTTCCTCAAACTCTCCATCGATAGATGTCATGTCCAAAGATTGACTCTCGCTGCGAGACCTCGAGCTCTGAGATTGATCATTGAAAAAAACTTTCGAAAGCAAAAAAAAAGAACCTAACCTCTTCGCTAAAGCAATGACACTTCCAGCAAACAGTGCGAGGTTCACTTTCAACTTCGAAATCGACACGATCTACTTGACGTTTACGACAGGTGAGCAGAAGGTCCTAAAGCCAACCTTATAAATAACCTGCTATTTGGTGTGCACATTTGTTTTGACTGAGGCTCGCTTTCATCAATGTTGGATGCCAAAAAGGCAATCAAAATTATTATTCAGGAAATGCAAAGCATATTGACAGCTAATGCTTTGCAGCTGTTGCACTAGCTAAATGACTTCGATTGCCTTTTTGGCACTGAAAGCAGTCGAAAGTGAAAAAGCATTTCATATCAACTCGTTGCAACAAGCAGTGAGATTATAAAGAGCTTCAGTTCTGCAAAACACAATGTATTTCGCAATTAGCAACTGATTTGAAAGAGACTATCATAACCAGATTCTGCACGAAGAATCACCCAACACTAACTTCACAGCAAAAGTCTTGGAGATATGATTACATGACAGTGACATTTGGAAACGATGCTGACAACCATAACTCAATTTAGTTGAGAAGGAAGGCAATGTGCACTTTGACCAATTATCTCGCAAGGCATTTCAGATTTCCAGTTTCTATTGTGACTATGCTATAAATTACATGTTGAAAAGGAGACAATGGAATCAAAGTAAACTCGTATCAGCGCGGATCGAAAATTGCACAGTTAAAAGTGGTTACTAGTCTGGCAATGTTACCCTCACCGATGCAAGCTCAACTTCAAAATTTCGATGGACTAAAAATCTTGCCAGCTGGCATGAAAGTGCCAAACGCTGCGAATTAAACGTAATTATATTGACACTGGCGGTAAGCAATGATCCTAACACCGCCATGGAACTTTTTGGGGCCAGGAGATGATCGTTATCAAATCGCGCAAAACTGCGATTAGCTGCATTTGCAGCCACTACTTCTTACGGCTTAAAAACTATATAATTACTGCTTCTTACATCAATGTGACTATACTCGTGAGCAATTGCCTGCCTACTGTTGATAATAGGCACGGTCATAGCGATGTCAGCTGAGTAAATATTGACAAAATCAAAGAGCAATAGGAAAGTCTCTATCACTCACGTAGAGGAACGAAACAGTTATACTGTCAACTTCCACTTCATCTTCTTCGTCGATAGAAAAGCGAGCACCGCATGGACTAACACGTCCGCTAAATGAGAAATTTGAAGGATTGAAATCATGGGAATTCGTGCGAGTCCAACCTCAACTTCTTCATCATCCAATCAGCTATGCTTTGCAGCGAATCCGTCTCCATCAGATCAAGATTGTCAACAATCAATCTCATAAATTCGGTAATGCGGTAGTGAAACACAAACTCGACGTGGCCGCAATTCATCCTTGAAACAGTTGTTTGCCAGCTGAGCAATGTCACCGCCGACAGAGACGACAAGATAGAAAAACAGATGCGCAGAAAACCTTATCAAAAGCTCATACATCACCTCAAAAGGTGGAAACTTTTGCAAAACTTTTCATTGTTATCAAATACTAGTTTGGAGATGAAACTACAGATCTAGAACAAGGAAGTCACAGGAGATGTAATGCAGTGAAATTGAAGCGACGTTGAAGAGACCCCAAAAAGTCACTTTCTCATCACAATCTGGTTCCGAAGACATTCAACATGCGTAAAAAGGCGACATAAATTCGCTTTTCATCGTCGCCGAAGAACGTGAAAACCGCTATCGATGCGTAGAACGTTCAGAACAGTTCCTAAGATGAACGTCAACCGTATATACCACAAATGAAACTACAAACCTAGTCAGCAACCGTCTCTCCAATCTGACTACTGTTTGAGATCGCACCCAATGAGTGGTTATACGAAGGTCGCCAAGCAAATATGACCTCCAAATACGCTCTTAAGTGACCTTAACTTACTTAAATACATGCAAGGCCATAAATAATGAGTCTTAGCCAAGACATATTCATTACAGCCAGCCAGTTAAAGGCTTTTCTAGAGTTGAACAGCCTAAAAGGCCTGTTGTTAGAAAATCCTGCAATTAACATGGGTGAACGTTACCACCCATCTGCCCCCCATTAGCGGTCATAATAATTATGGCAACGATTATTTTGTTCAAATATTTGTCACAAAACAGAGATTTTCTGCATTATTTTGTTATTTTTGAAGGAAGATGCAGTGATTCTGCCTTTGAAATTCCCACAGAAAGAAGCACTAGATAGTGCACATTTATTGTACAAAATAGTGATAAATCACTGCCAAATACTCGCACAACATTGAAAAACATGACTAGAGATCGAATTCAACGTAAGAACAGCACGCTAAGGGTACCCGTCGATACTGCAGCGACTCTGCAACATCGCAGAGAGCTAGCAACCGACGAGGCGGTCAGCTGATACGCCGCAGCGCCGTGTAGACGCGATGCGGCTCTCCTCTCGAACCATTGATTTGCATACGCCTCGTAAATGAGGGTCGAAAGGAACGAGGAAGGGATGTGGACCTCAAATGAGGGCAACGACAGGCGGCTGGCCAAGCCGCCATCAATAATGAGTAGTTTAGCCAAGGCTTGTTGGAGGTCTTACGTACATATAAACACATAACAATCATTCAAGCGTAAATATTCGGCTTGCCACATCATCACACATCCAACCGACAGCCTCGAGCAGGTTTTCGCCCGTCATGGCACTGCAACTGTAGATTCGCCAATGATGCGACTTGATTTCGTTCAACTCCAACAGCTGAAAATTGAACATTATGATCGCATTTTAATTGGAAAGAAAATATCTAGCTTCCCAAAACTGAGGCAAAAAATATGCGAGAGACTGGATTAATTAGAGAAAATGCTATGACTGGACATCTGTTATCAGGAAATTGCAAAGAAGAATTCTGCAAGAAGAGAGTCGCCACATTCTGAGCAAATTCATTGAAACAAACTGCCATATGATAAATTAGTTGAACCAGCAATAAACAAGATAAGAGCATATTTTGAGCACAGAAAATTTGCAGTTTTGCAGGTACATCTTATTAATCTTCCGATTCAGGCATTTATCAAAGGTTTTGTGAAATTCACATGACAGTGGAGATATTTTTACCTTTGCTATGTCAGCGACACGTATAGCACTAGGTAGGTCTTGCTTATTGGCAAGAACCAGTAAGGTTGCACCAGAAAGCCGTTCTTCACCAAGCAATGACCTCAGCTCATCTCGGCAAGCCACTAACCGCTCTGAAATGTAGATAGTGTAGTTACAGGTACATCTCTCTACAAATATTTCGTACACCCAACGAGCTGGAAACAGTCTCTACTCCAGATACGATTTTTTGCAGACACTTCCGCTAAGTTTTGAAGGAACATAGAACAACGTAGAGAAGATGTTACTAGAGTATGGCAAACGCACTGCCAAGTTGATCCAAGTACGACCAGATCGTTCAAACTACGAAATTCTAAGGTAGGATTGCTGAGCGGCGGAGTGGTATGGCAAGCGGTTACGACTCTCTGCAAAACAGTTTCCATCACGCTTCTGGGCCAAACAGGACCTACTCGGGGGAAGGTAAGTCATAGCAGTATGATCTGGAAGGTTTGAAGCACTGATCTAGCAACGACTAAGCCGCGCACGTCATTATAGAGGTTCGCACGCATTCAGCATTCATTCGACTATGAAGAAGGATGCGTTTGGTGCATGCACGCTGAGGGAATGAAAACGCCAGGTCTATCTCCTAGGGGTAAGAATGAAAAAAAGATCACCTAAGGCGCATCTACTGGCTGACTATTTCAAAGTCTCAAAACCTGCATGTTTACTGGGAGGTTCCAATCATGATTACAATATCATCTGTGTACAAAACAAGCTCGGACTGCACCTTGGTCTCCAGAGTCGATCACCCAAATCAAAGCATCTGTCTGCTCGAAATAGTTTCGCCAGTACGAGCGGAGACTCTTTTGACCACCAACATCCCAAAAGTTGATGGTGAATCCTTGAAATTCCACGGTTTTGATGTTGAAACCTAAATTAGACAAAAGTACAGGTACCAACGATCACGAGTGCCTTTGCTATATACCGAGAGTGGGTTCCACCATGTTGAGGTCCTCCCCCAAGAACTTCTTAGTTATCGTAGTCTTTCCAGCATTATCGAGGCCAAGAATCAGAACGCGAATTTCTCGCTCTCTTTCCCTCTGCTTACGCAATATAGTGAGGAGTCCCATCAACTAAACCGGCGTGTGTAACTCTGCTCAGATCCTGAAGACATGAGATGCACTACTGAAGAGAAAGTTTCTAATGTCCAGTGAGATGAGATAGTGCAGGCAATGGCAACCTATGAAAGCAAAACAAGAAAACGAGTTCAAGTTTTATGATGTCGCTAGTAAGAGTAAAAGATAGCCGAACTGTAAAAATCTTCATCACATAACCCCAACAAACAGAATGTAATCAATAAAGAATCTAAAAACAGCAAGAAATTTGAAAATTAGCGCTAACAAAGAACTTCTGGATTGCTGCATACACCGACAGATGAAACAAGTCCCGCAGAAAGTTTAGTTGCTTGGCCTGGAACACATAAATGATATGAAAGATTTAAAATCTTGCAATGCTACTAAGAAAAATGCTGAAAGCATCTCAAAAAAAAAACATTGCCTAACACACAGCTAAGCTTGATTACAAATCGTAAAAGACTAGTAAAACCGATTAAAAAATCTAAGCTTGTGCATGCGATCTGATCTTGCGCACTCCGACTAATGCAGCGCACAATTCTTAAGAAGCTTACCTCGTCCACTCCACTCTAAGCACCATGTGATGTCTTCGTATACCATTCAGTTTTGCTATTGCTCTCTCAGCATCCTGAAACAAAGGAGCTGTGCTCCTCAAACTATATCTAGTACAAAGAGCCTACCTCTCTCAAGTCGTACGTCACGAACGCGAATCCTTTAGGCTGATTAGTTACTTTATCACGGGCAATAAACACACGCTAGAACAAAGTAGATAGCAAAACGCGATCAAGAATAGTATAGACTACTACATGACGAAGGCGCAATATTTCGCGCCCGCTTATCTAATACAGCTTCTGCGCCTTCTTCATGCAGTGGCCTTTGGATACCACTTACGGATACACGGCCAATAGCCGCAAACAGCTCGCGAAGTTCTGCCTCCTCCATTTCTTGAGGAAGGTTGGTGACACGGCACGTATTCTCGTCGGACCTAAATAAAATAATATACCTTCAAAAAAATTCCATGAGTAACCGTACCTGCGATCTCCTTGGCGAGCATCACCACGCATTCCAGGCGCAACATAACGACCAGTACCAGGTGCTGTTCTTTCTTTTTCTGCTGCTTCAGCATTCTCGATATCATCCTCCGTGGCATACATTTCCTAAATAAGCATATTTAATCTGAAATTAGAAAAAACTTGCGATAGATGCAGTATACCTTGTAAGGGCAGTTTGTACTCCAATGATCGTTTCCTTTGCAATGACGGCAGTGCTCCCTGCTGGTCGCTTTCACCTGGAGATGTAACTTTTTAAAGACTCTTGACCTAGATCATATTAATTTGTTTCCTTTTTATGTTCTACAGTTGAGATGGGTAAGTTTCGAATATTCTTAAGAAGTATTTCAGAATAGCATCTAATTCATTTCACCCAAAAAGGCACAAAATGATTTTGTAATCATTCTGACAGCATCCAGCCGTATACGCAGGAAAGTAGCACGGAAAGAAGTTCACTCTTTCAGTCGGAAAGATGTGCGCTAAACTACTAATGAACTAATGAACTTTATCATAAATCCTTTGCTACTGAGAGTTAGTCGCCCTGATTGCAAAGCAACTATTTTTGCGACAACGGTTGTAAATGAAATATCGAGGCAAACATGAAGGCAAAAGAGAAGTTGTAGACTACGACTGCAAGCATAATGGCATAGTAGAAGCTATCGCTCGGAACTTGCCTAACTTGCCGAAGCCACTCTTTTTCACTTACGCGGATTAAAAATAATTTATGTAAATGGGTACCAAAACAGATACTTGCAAAAGTAAAGCTTTCGCAAAGGATGCAAGAAACATGCTATGTTTATCCCATTTGTGCGCAGGATATACATAAAACACCCCTTCATTTGTCCCCCCCCCCTCTCATTTTTGTGACACAAAGTTTTCATGAACATTGACAAAGGTGTTCATCTCTAGACTAAATAAAGGCGAATATGGTATGCCTTTGATTTTTATAGATACTAATGACCGCTTCATCACTAGACAATTTTGGAGAAAAATCAAAAGAGCTTTCTTTTCTATTTTTCCCTAGATAGTCTCTTTTCTCTGAGGTCTTCCTACCTAAAAAAACTGCCGCACATAAAATATATTTAAATTGCAAAATTGAGTTCAAAGATGATATATCAACTTAAGTCAAAGAGAAAGCGAATGCTGGGAGAAACTTACAACTTGCTTATCCTCTTGTACATCCAAGATTTGTTCTCCAGCACGGTTTCTTGTGAACTGCATCTCAACCTCTTCTGCTACGTAAGTTGTGGAGACCTTGGTAACAAAACGTCTCATAATTGAAAAGCTAACAAGTGCATCATTACTACCGTCGAGAGACTCACCTGTGGGCCTGGTGGTTCATCTTTGCATTGTCCAAATTTCTTCAGCTTCTTGCGCTCGGCTACAACTTTTGGCACATTCTTGGTGATTACTTTGAACTGGGTCACCACCTAGACAAACCTTCTCGATGTAATTTCCTGATAATTCTAAAATCCTACAATACCTTATATCGTGCTCCATCTTCCTCAATGTAAGCAACAACCGTTTTAACACCGTCTTCATTGACTTCGTTGTTTTGAAGGGCTGCAATCTCATCCTCATTATTCGAGAACCAAGGTAGATTACACTTACTGTCTTGTTCGACTGCTTCAGCCCAACTTCCAACTTCGGGTGCAGCACTCAGACTAAAATGAAGAATTTCAGTTGAAGTGAAGAAAGGTAGAAATGATAGACTTACATGTTAGTGGCGCTCGCCGACATCACCATCATAGAATTCTGAAAAGTGATGATATGAGCAAAAAGATTAAAACAATCAATCCAACGCAGAAGCACAGATACTTATAATTCAGAACAGCATCCTACCCTTCCCCGTTCTGCTGTTCCAAATTAATTCCTTACAAGAGCCAGGCCGATACATGACATCAAAGAGAGGCCTTCCAGTACTCTCACAAAAGTTCAGAAAAGGAGGTAAGGAACCCAGTTAGAACCGTATATAGTGACTGCCAGAGCTAAATGCCTTGAGAATGAAACAAAAGCTCAAGCTTAGAGAGGAATTTTCTCCGATGAAACTGATTTCAGCATCGTCAGCCTCAAGAATTGCGAGAGTCGTCGAAAAAAGTGCTCCAGTTGGCACAAGGTAAGCGCTGCGGGAATCAGCACCAACGTCATTTTGGAGTCCTTCAAGAAAAGTTTATTTGTTCGTGCACTTTTTGTTGACACACGTGCTTTCTCAGAAATGTGTGCCATTAACATTTATTATCAGCCACAACTTATCCTTCATGTTCCATTGTAGCGTCTCTATCAATCTTTTTTGTCGTGCTGCTCTCACGCACTTAGGTTCGAGAAGATCCTTTACATCTGATTGAGTGGAAGGAAGCAACGTTTACCGCGAATAGCCATTCTGAGCGACAAATCCAGCCAGCAGTCTGGGTCGTTGTGACAGTATAGCCCATATGTTGGACCACTTCATTTTTCTCTTGAAGTAGTTTTCAAATTCCCTTCAAAAGTTCTCAAGATGCGGCTATACTCAGCTTGTAATAATCCGGCTGAGGAAAATGCTACACTTATGTACCTGTGGAGCGATTCACAGCTGTTGAAGCGGAAGTTTTTCACTGGATGGAGGGTATTTGTGTCACGCAAACAAAAACCGAGAATGTCATACATTCCAACTACAAGTGAGAGTTACGCCCATCGATAGGTACATGCTTCAAATGACCAGCTCCCTTTTTTAATTACAAGGTGGACTGGCCTGTGATCGTCAGCTGATCGATGGATCAACTATGCCATAGCATTGACACATCGGGCGTACGTTACATAATGCATGTTCGCCTGTCCGTAGCTGGAAAGGAGTATGCCTAATTTTCCTAATCATGAAACACATTCACTGCAACTTGCGGACGAGGAGTCCACAGTCGCTTATGTGAGAACAAATGCTACTCTCCATAATTTAGCCGTCACCTTTGTGCCTGTTTACAACTTAAATATGGTGCTGAAGTGCGCGCGCTGAAAGAAAAGGACATTTCATCGGAGGGACAGTAGATCCGCCCTTAGCTGGGGATCCCTCGATTGGAGCACGGATCTTGTTTGGAGCGCCATCTCTTACCGCTTGTTTTTAACAGCATCTTGACAAGCAGGATTTGTTTTCAGTTCTGTAACTCTCATTTGCGGTCCCTCACTACTGTGAGAGATGTTTTGTATCCTAAGCACTACATTAGGTACGCTTCAAAATGCTGTAGACTATGAACAGTGGAGACACAGTCTACCTAGTTCAAACAAAAATTCAATATCACGAATTTTGGTGGAAGTTCTCTTTCGGGGTTTATTTGACCTGCAGATCAGGAAATGATATTCATTTCGCACGGTATGGCCTTTGCCGTGTAGGTAAGGGTCTCTGATCTCGCTGGAACTTTGCACGGGGGGTCATTCGGCATACTATCACGAATACCATGTGCATTCTTTGAGATAGGTCGCTGTAACTTTGCCCAAAGAGTTATGCAGATCACGGATAAAAAATTCGTTCGTCATGGTATCGCCTTAAGTTATAGTGGGGATGCGAGTTGAAGACGTAGTCGCGGATTGATGTGGAAATTCGCCTAGAGTGACTAGTCGCGACCTCGAGATTTGAAGAAAGAGTTGCCTTGTTGCTATTGAAGACTCTTTAGCAAAGTTACAGCAAATATGCGGCAACCGGTCGAATCGTTTGGAACTGAAGGGGGGTTGTCTTACCTTCTGATCACATATATTGCGCTCATCTCGCATAATACGGCTTTGTGGATTTTTGAGATCTAAATTGGTCTAACAAGGGAAGGATACTTAGTCGTAATGGCGTCTATATGAAATATACACTATCTTATAAAGCATGCAATGCTGATTACAAATCTGCTTTCTTTATCTGCAAAGCTCCTCTGGGAGGAGAGTTATGAAAATTTTTGATACAAAAATCCGAAAGCGAGGCTACAAGCATTCAGAACCTTGATCCGTGAGCTCAGATGGGGCCATGTTTACTACCAGGGCTTATATGCAATAAATGCCTCCAATCTAACAAACCCATGTCATGTTACTCCTTTTAAGTGCCGAAACTAACTCAAGCCTGTTTTTTACCTTAGACAAATCATTAAATTTTTACCTCAAAAGATTTTCAGAACTCCCCTCCCAAAAGCGCTTTGCAGGTAAGGAAAGCAGAATTGTAATCAGCGTTTCATGCTCTATAAGATAGTGTACATTTTAATGGAAACGCCACTTCGACCAAGTACCCTTACCTTGTAGAAACCAAAAGGGGTCTATGTATACGCTTTATCATGACCAAATTGCAGCCAAGTACGTGACTGCCCTCTCACCGCACCTCCACACCGTAACTTCACCAGGCTTGCTGTGCGAATAGTGCACGATTTTTGCGATCAGCGTGTCGAATGCCCTCTGGACGAAGTTCCAGAAAAATCTAGGATTTCGAACTTATGCGTATACACGCCGTAATAAGGTGCTAGCGTGACAGATGAATATGTTATTTGTGAGAAACAAGATAGCTAATGCTAGATAACCTCCCCTCCCCTCCCCTCCCCCCCCCCCCCACATACACAAGGTTTCAGTGAATTCGGAGATTTTCATTAGGGGTCGGCTGGAATAGTAGTAGAAAATCTATCATGCGAAATGAACGCGAATTATTTGATTAGCGCGTCGACCCCTCATACCCAGAATTCCAGGCAGATCTTCGCTTTCTGCCCGTACACCCAGTGTAACTCCGCGAGAAGGTATCAAAACTTAGAAAAGTAGGGTATCCGTAATCACGTATTGGAGAGTTCCTTGACAAAGTTCTGAGCAAATTTGTAACGTTTTTCGTATTGGATTGCTGGAAGTGGACTGATCAAATCGCATGTGTACTGGGGAAAGCTCGTATCACAAAATGTCGGATATTCCTTCCAGCAAAGATTCGCAGTGCTGTACCGCTGATTTTCCCATCGCTAGCTCGGGCACAAGCGTATTCAAGGCATACTAATGCTAGGCAACGAACATGCTGAATCAAATTTCAACGATCTTCACGGCTTTCAGCCGAACAAGGCCGTTTGATGACGCCATTCTGAAAAGTAGTTAGCTCAGCGTTCAGAATGGCTTCGCTTCCAAGGCGGATCAATCGAAGTGTAAAGTCGCCGCATTTGTCAATACTCGTTTAGTCAAAAAAGATGTGTTTTTAGAGTTTGTATCGAAAAGCGCTCTTTGATACCACATCCTGAGTAGGTGCTAGGAAGTGCAAATGGAAGTCCTAGAGAGCTTAAACGAAATGCGCTTGCCAAAATCCCTGGAAAAGACGAGGAGTAGCTATGGTGCTCCAAACAAGATCCGTGCTCTAGTCGAGGGATCCCCAGCTAAGGGCGGATCTACAGTCCCTCCATTTCATCGTCCTGCTTCGAAGATTTACTAACTGATAGCCCGCATACTTGCCGTTCAAAGTTCAAGCCGTTTCTCTGTGACTGCGCGTACACAGACAATTCACCGGAACTTCGGCATGACAAGCAAAATTTGTAGCGGTTCCGCAGGACTTTGTTTACTATTTCAAAAGTGGAAACGTTGAAAATGGGATCTTCCGCGGGATTTTTACATCAAACTGTTTGAAAACGGGGCTTCTGCAGGACTTTTACGAAGCGCTGTGGAACTTCTGAAAATTGCCAGCGGTTCCGCAGCACTTTGACATGCCAGTACTTTTGCAGAATAAGTCTCGCGGGTGATCCGGCGTAACTTCGCCCGACGTTTGGAAGTTCCGGTTAGTTTTCTGGTTGTGAGTAGCTTGAGGACCCGCTCCGGGCCAAATAAGTATATTCCCCTTACAACCGCAAGGTACGCTTCAGACTGAAATTATGCAGAAATCTCGCACATTGATATTTTCGCTTGGATCGCCCCAAGGCTTAGTGATTTCTCTGCGGTGAAAAGAACGATTCATAAACAATCCTCTGGCTGTTCTTTAAATTGTCGAATTATCTGAAGTAGAAACTGCTTTTTGACAAGGGGATTTACAGAATATTTACTCACATAGGCTGGAGAATATGTTCCTCACACCTTCACAATATACCGTGAAATGTTCACCTAGAACTTGGTTTGGCATTTTAGTTTGAACAATGCATATCGTGAAGTACCGAGCTCTAATAGAAGAGGACAAAAATCATTAACAAAATATTATTGGTCGACCTTAGGAGGAAACTTCAGATTTCTCCATTAATGTCAATCTCTTCCATTACCTTGTTGTATGATCTTCGATTTTCTGTTATCTTTATTACGAAAGAAACACTTAGAAATTTTTCTGTGGTGCCGATAAGATGTCAGCTTCCTGATTGTGCGGACAGACAATTTCCTTGAATTTCATTTTATTATTGTTGTCTCATCTGTATTATCTGATTCGGCAGATTTTGATTCTACTCTTACACAGTCAATAGCTCTTTCAAAATCGGTACTGAATTTAGAAATTTCACGTTCGTGCCGTAGAGAAAGCACCAATCCTTTATTTTTTTTTCAACATTCTTGATCGAGGACATTTGAGCGACTCGCAGGAAGGAAATTCTGTGGAAGAAATCGATATTATCCTGTCTCAACCTGTCCATCATTCATCATAGAATATTATTTAGAGTCAACAACTGTCAGGAATACTTTCTCGAGATGGCGCACTTTCTTCTTTATGGTAAATCTTTATTCGAAAAAGTATTATTTTCCCATTTTATTGCAAATTTTGGTTGGTCAATTCACAGTCTTGGACCAGCAGAAGTATCTCGTCGTCCCCCCCCCCACCGCTCTTGTCAA